GCTTTTCCGACAGTATCCCACATGGTTTATGAGGATTGTTTACAGTTGCGTACGCAAGAATGCTGAAGGATGCGTTTAGCAGAGTGTGCCCGCGTTCTCCGACGAAGTACTTAGTGCGAAGCACGTCAAAGACTCATCGAACCATCATAAGCGCATATTTGCAAGATTGTGCGTAGTTGTTGGGTCGTTTTGGGTTTGCTCGAACATCCGTTGTGGTAAGCTTCTTCCTAGACTTCTGAATCGCCACCATAACCATCGTATGTATTATCATGCAAGAAAGGTTCTGCTGTTCAGGACCTTAGTCCCAAAGGGATGGAAGGAAGTAGATAGTACAAAGTAGCCCAAAGGGTTGAAGTACCTATATAGTAGTTAGTATATACGATACTGTTACTTGGACTCTTTGGGTAGGATCTCTATATCAGGAATGAGTATTCCGCTTTCGGTATGTAGCTACCGTTTCGGTACAGACCCGAAAACGCCTATTAAGCCTCAGTCAACCCGAAGAAGGAGCCTGGAACCCTTAAGCCCTAAACCCTTGAACCCTTAAAGCCCCAAACCCCTAAACCGTAAACCCACCTATAGTCTCCAGTGTACTTTTTTGCTTAGCCATTTTCAAGGTTAGGATCCTATACTATGAATAATGGCTAACCAAAAAAGGAACGGCAATAGAAACTAGAGGAAACCCCAAAAACTCTTTAAAATAACAATCCTTGAAGGACATTAGGGTCCCTTGGACTACCATAAGAGGAACTTAGGACCTCATCTCACCCAGACAGGAGCACTTCAACGGAGCCCTTCAAAGCTTGAACTGATTAACACAGCTTAACAGAACCTACACAGGATCCCTTTGTTGGGGGGTAATGTAGAAGCCTAAATTAGCCTAAATAGTTACCAAAATTGTTCCTTAGGGTTCCTTATGTAGAAGTATACAGTAAAAAGGAGCCCAAAAATTCTACTCTAATCCTTTGTGGTAAATTATAGGGTATCCTACCCTGAAGCCATATTCCAACTTTCTGGAGTTCCCTTTAAGGCCCCTATTTTAGGAAGACAAAGGACCCGAGTCGCAGCGGACACACTTTTCGGCTCCCTTTGCCCCGCTGCACACATAGAGGCCATGGCCTCGGGTGAATACTTGGAGGGTCGGGGGACTTAGTAACTATAAGGGGTTCGTTTAGGGTTCCCTTAAAGGGATCTATAGGGATTCTGCAGGGGTTTAGGGTTTAGGGGGACTTAGTAACTGGTTATTTTAGGGACCTACAAGTACCATAACCCCAATTAGGGTCCCTTCTAGGGCACTTATAAGTCTACTTACTACCTACTTACTAAGTCCCCCGACCCAAGTAAGGATCAGGGACACCAAAAAGCACAGAAGCATACTCATGTCACAGGGGTATCCCTACCCTATTGGGCTTCATTACAAGCGGGTTTAGGGAGTTTAGGGTTTAGGGTGTTTATATGGGATGTCCTTGCTTTACGATTTGCTTATGTGCTTTTTGGGGTTAAGAGGGAGCTTAAGCTTGCAGGGGATGGAAATTCCACAGTGGTTTCAAGTTCTATACGAGGCTTATGCAATCAAAGAGCATACGCGGTTTATGCAGTTCAATTAAAGAGGATGCATATGGGAACTATAAGTGATTTTCAGGGATGTAAAGGGTTTTGTACTTCTTGAGGGTTTAGGGATGTAGGCTTATGGTTTTGGGTGTGGGGTTCGATTTGTAGGGTTTAGGGAGCAGCTATAGGGGTTAAGGGCTCATAGGGGTTTAGGGCTTATAGGGTTGTACACTACAGTTTGTGGGTTGTTGATCTGGGGGACTTAAGAGACTAGGGTTTAGAGACTTCCGGGTCGGATGAAGGGGTTTTGGTTTGGGGTTTATGGGGTTTCGGTCGGATGCGCTTGCATGGCCAAGTAGGTAGCTACCGTCCTCAGTGTTTGGGTCAATGCGCTGATTCTTGAGGCAGGCGAACTCCTACCCTCAAGACGTTTGTCCCTAATGCGATGGTTTCAGAGGGCAAATGCACATGCCAAGCCCGCTCGCTTCTCCCCCCCCTCCACCGCCCCCGACTAAAGTAAACCTGCTAGGCCGCCATGAAACCCTGAACTAACCCGTGAAGCCGTGAAGAACCCAACAGCCCAAACCCGAGATGTACCAGGAAGATGGTTGAATTCATAGAGGCGCCTCGAATCCTCAACCCGGTGAGCCCGCAGAACCCTGAGGCGTAAGGAAAGTGGCATGGGGACCTTGGACGCTACAAGTTGTAGTACCACCGACATTAAGATGACTAGCGCTTGTATAACTATTCCTAATTAGTTGTAGTTGAACCATCTCAGTCATTTCAATCCGAAAGGGCGCAAGCAATGGTGTGGTATGTACCTTTTGCGGCCCAAGTACCTAATAAGTAGCTCAAGAAGAAGCCAGAAAGATGGAACATCGCCATCCTCATGCCCTTAAGGTAAAGGATAAGGGATCCCGTCACTAATCATCTGGAGTTCGCCATACTGTATTGGTACTTGGACCCGTTGGGCACAAACATCTAAACCCTATAAACCCTCAACCCTAAACCCTATGTGAACCCCGAAGCCGTCAACCCTAAACTCTAAACCCTCAACCCCTAAACACTCAAACCCTAAACGCTCAACCCCTAATCCCTAAACCCCCAAAACCCCAAACCCTAAACCCCTAAACGCTCAACCCCTAAACCCTAACCCCCAAACCCTACACTCCCTTGAGGACCCCTGTAACGGAACCCCTATAGAACCCCAAACCCTAACCCCGAAACCTTAAACTTATAAATTGGTAAAAACTCGTCTGGCCAGGTCGAGCCTGGCGGCCACATGTGGCCCATGGAGTGCCGGCTCCCCAAGCGTCTAGGGTTTAGGGTTTAGGGTTTTAGGGTTTGGGGTGTAGGATTAACTAACCATTGATATGGGGGGAGCTAAGGAGCCAGGGATGATGATAATCCCTAGTAATTAAGGAGCTAAAAAGCCAAGGGAACCCCCGAAACCACTGGTTAGTTAGGGTTTTAGGGTTTGGGGTGTAGGATTTAGGATGCAGAATTTAGGACTTTAGGAATCGGTGTTTAGGGTTTAGGGTCCCCGCATCTGTGGGTTTGGGTTTTAGGAGGCAGAATTTAGCATTTTAGGTTTCGGAGTTTAGGGTTTATGGATTTACGGGGTTTGGGGCTAGTCAGAGTTGAGGGTTTCGGGTGTTTAGAAGTTCATAGACGTTCTTTACAGAGTACCGTAAGGCCGTAAGGGTGCTTTGAGGGATTAGGGTCTTTGGGCTTGAGATATTCCGACATTTTAGGGTCCTGATAATGAGGATCCGAAGATTCTGCGTGATGTGAAATGGGAGTTTCCGAAAATAGGGGACCGTAATATAGTACCCTATAAGATCCTTATTGTAAGGATCCCAACATAAGGTACCCCCATTTTTGGAAACTCCCAAATCTTGGGGTGTCGGTGAGGTGATCTGATTGTCGAAGGGTTTGCATGGCTTTTGCATTGGTGTTTGTTGGGATCGAGCTTGCGGTCCTTGAATCCCAAGCCTTACTTGGAGGTTCAGGGGTAGTTATAAGTGGGTTATAAGTCCCCTAAGAGGCGTTACAAGTATAGTTGCCCTACTTACAACCCTACTTTCTTGTAGGTTCTTATTATATACCTTAATCTGGAATTTATAGGGGCCCTACAGAAAAAGTAGGTTTTGGTAGGCTAAGGTACTCTCCCGAATAGTAAGCTACATAATTACTGTCCGAAACCTAAGTACCCAATTCCTGGGTCCTTTGGACTCTGAGGGGGGCAGCCTCGGCGTTCGGAGCGAAGGCTTTAGAATCGGTTTTGACGGTACTATAGTCTCCTTAGGAATTATTTTGTATTTTTGTTCATATACAACCCAAGCGAATATTAAGCATGGTATTTTTAGTATGGTTCTAAGGGGTGTGTAGTTTAGGCTTGGTTTATGGCACTTAGTCAGTAGTCATTACAGCTCTGAGTAGCTTAGCCGGGGTCATAACTGGTTATATAAGTATAGTTGCCTTATCTATAACCCTAGTTGCTGAGTAAGTCCCATGAACCTTTACTTAAGGGTCCCGTTTTAGGTTCCAAGACAGTACGGCACCCTTCTGAAAAGGATCCGAAAAGGGACCCTAATTTGCGTAGCTGCCCTTGTAGATCACGGTTCTCTTACTTACTTGAAGGATCACGGGACTTAGCAGGTAGGTTTAATGCTTTTATTCTATGAAAATTCTTACTGTCCGGGCTTTTTGCTTCGATCTGTTGCGCCAACCAGGTCCCAGGGACTTCGCCCACCGCGCCTCGACGATGCTCTCGGACCGGAGCCGTCTTTGAGGAGGAAAAGCAAAAGGAACGACATTTTTTGGGGGGGTTTGGCATGTGTCGGGACACTAAACCCTAAACTCTTTTAGCATTTGGAGGGTTTTTTTGCGAGGGGCTTGGGTTATGGCATTTGGGAGGTGATATGAGGGTTGATTGTAGGATGCACTTACTTATCAGGGTTTGGAGTGTTGAGGGGAGGGTAGGGTGCGCTTTGTCTTCTCTCCTTAAGTGTCCATGTGCGCAAACGGTAAATGCTTCGACCCTAAAGTATCGATATAAGGACTACATTGGCTACAGTGTGTACTACATAGGTACATGGACCCCTAGCGTATTGCTGGACAGATTTCGGGGTTTGGGCTTTCCACACTGATCTGGGTGTATCTGGGTGACCGACACGTTCTACACTGGAGGATTTAGGGTTTGGGCTATATACTTACGTTTATGTAGGATGAAGCCTGGCTTGACGGTTTGCACGCTGCTGATCTGAAACAATATGTAGACTGCATCTGGGCACAGCGGGATCACAAAACGCTCCAGCCCAGCCGTCGTGATGAAAATTTGCTATTGCTAGGATGGCCGTCGTCATTGCATCTCCTACCAGAACCCTACAAGCGCTAATCCCTAGAATGTCATGATCCTGACGCTGGAACCTCCTTTGTGCAGCCAGGCACGGATGGGCAGAACAGGGCGTGCCGTGAGCATCTACACCCCGGAAGAGTACCCAAAGGCCGTACGACTGTTTGGGCTTGCAGGGGTAAGGATACTGCTAGGGGTTCATTTTGTAAGGGTATAACGGTTTCCCCTAGTCTGGTTGTCACCGATATTAGAAATCCTTGCTGGCGCCGTAAACTACCAGGCGACCTATAGGCCCAATTACCTAGCTACCCGCTTTTATACTATGGCAATACAGAGAGGGCAACCTGCCAACAGAAACAGGAAACTGGTCTCTGGAGGAAAGAACGTTCTCCGATGCTTCATTTGATAGACCTCATAGGCTTTGACGCAGCTAGAGCCTGGAACCCTTTTAAAACCGATAAGCCCTGAACCACCAAGGGATCTATTACTTTTTGGTTCCTTCCGACAGGTGAAGCTGCTTGGGCGCGAGTGTGCGAAGCCCAGCCTTTTCCGAGAAACCATCAGAGCTGGGCCCATAAGGGGCTTTCTTTCAGCGTTCCTTTGACGGGGTTTAGGGTTCCTTCAAGGGCCCTCCCCTACAGCTTTTCGAGGCCGTTCAACACCTGATTAAGCCTTAAACCTTAAATGCTTTCGAAGGGGTTTACTACTCCTATACCTATACCCTGGACGTTTTCATATAACCCCTAACCCCCCTGTCGACGGCTTTACTGGCCCTTGTGCCCTAAGCCCTTCTAAAGGCCTAGTGAAGGTTCTAAGGGGAACTCCAGAAAGTTGGAATATGGTTTCAGGGTAGGATACCTTATAATTTACCATAAAGGGTTTAGGATAATCATATTCCAACTTTCTGGCTTTTACTTTAAAGGGCCATGTAATGCTGCATTGGTTATGGAACATAGGCCTGAAGCATTTGCAGGAGTTCGTACGGCTATCAAGAAGGTTATAAATTGCCGGTGCTTTGTTTTTGACGGGAGGGGGAAGGGGGGAGTATGTGATATTTTGCAGATAGCATAAGGGGATACGATTAAAACTTGTCAGATGTCGACGTTCAATCGACCAAGCCCTGCACCAAACAGTTCAGGACGTTTCTTGCAGGCTCCGCTCCGCGAAGCGCCACAGGGTTTCCCCTCCTGTATGTGGATCGTTTTGTTTTGTGTGTGTGTGTGTGTGTGTTTTTGATGTTTTTTTTTTTTTTTTCTGGGGTCTTGTTCTATAACACAAGGAAACCCGATTATTTACTATGAGGCCCCTATCATGTTTACTGAATTTACGTACAGGGTTTAGTGTTCGGCGTTGGGAGGCCATCTGCCAGCTTCGCAGTTTAAAGTTCGACCGTTCTGCGGTTTCGATCACGCGTGTTCCGAAGACCCTAACCCACGGGGTACACGCAGTAGTATAGCATATTCTTGTACTGCCCAAATACCTACTAAGTAGCTACTATGCTGGTGCTTGGGCCTTTTGGTTAAGTCTCCAGTATTGCTCGTGATTCTTTTTTCTTTCTTGGAGGCTGAACTGCAGGAAAACCACGTATCTTTACTTCAGCAGGAGCTACTGGGCAGCCTAGTATTTCTGAAGGACCAGCCCGAGACCTGTGATAGCCTTCTTTAGGGTTTAGGGCTTAAGTTCTTAATCAGACTTCATTATAAAGGTCTAGCCAGGTAGAAACCCAGGAAGGTATCCTATCAGTAGATCAACAGTAACATAGGTTAGGACAGGTCTTTTGTTCAAGGGCTCTAGTTGAAAGAGTACTTGACAGAATGCAGTATTGATGAGATCAAAGCCCTGCACAGCCATTGCAAATCCTGAGGGGCAAATCCTCGACACACTCCCGAGTCAAGCCAGCTCAAGCCTTAAAAACCCAAACCTTGAGCCGAGAATATCCTACAATCGAAGCCCCAAGCCTTGCTGCCCAGAGGCCCTATAGTAGTTCCTTTTTGGGATTACCCTATATGGTTCCATATATGAGCCCCAAAAAGGAACTACTATGGGGCCTATGGGTATACCGTGAGCACAGGTTCAAGCAAGGTTCAGTCGAAAGTGGTTCGGCGGAGTATCGCTGCTGAGGCCAGCAACATGTTGAGTGTTGGGTTTAGGGTTTAGGATAGAGGGTTTAGGGTTTAAGGGTACAGGGTTTAGATTACCCTGGGCCCTAAGGAACCTACCTTGTTTGGTACTTATGTAAAGAAATCACATTAGGGAGCCCCTAAGAAGGTAGGTTCCTTAGGGTCCGGGTACGGTTTAGGGCTATAGGATTGAAGGCTTGTAGGGTTTAGGCATGAGCGGCTCAGCGTTTAGGTTAGGGTTTGGGGCTAGCGATTCAGAAGGTTTAGGGTTACAAGCCGTAGATTAGACGGTAGACGTCCTGGGCTCCTAGACTGCAAAGCTTCGAACGCCCTTCAAAGAGAGTGCCTCCGCCAGGCCCTACTTCCTAAACCGCAAAACCTGCGTCGGCCCAGCCATCCACTATGCCCCCCCCCCCCCCCCCCCCCCCCCCCCCCCCCCCAAGCTGTTAATTTCAGAGTGTAGATTTTAGGGCTTTATGGTCCGGTCTTAGGATTTGTGATAAAATCTTTCGACACCGAATTGGTTGAATCTCGAGCCTGGATCTCCGTCAAGCAGCCAAGCTGAAGCCAGCAAACCTGAAGCCCTTTCCGTGCTTCGGGCTTAGAGGGATTAGGTGTTGGATTGGGTTTTAGGATTTGTAGGGTTTAAGATATGTTCTAGTTCCCTCTTGCTGGTGAGCTTGCCTCTTGGTCAAGCGGGCCTTTGTCATAAAGATCGCCTGGTAGCAAGTAGGAAGACTTAGTAGTAGGGTAGTCGGTAATCTTTTTTGTCTTTTTGATATAACCCTCAAGGTTTACTTAGTTCGGCCAAGAAAGTAGAGCTCCGCACGAGAGTGTCAGTTCTTGTTGCCCACCTGGCTCGAGCTTCTTAAACTCTAACTTAAACGACCAGAACCTGTTTTTTGCAGGTTCTTCATTATGATCAGTAGAGGAACTCTACAAAAGGAAAGTAGCTAAGGGTAGTTCAGTTCAAGGTACCCCATTCTTGAACTTACCGTTTTCGGTCTCCTCATCATAATTTCGTTATATCAGTTCTGAAAAGAGGGAGGGTTTAGGGTTCAGGCTGGTTCTAACATAGGAACATGCTTCAGAAGTCTCTTGGATCTTCATTGGTTCGCTTATATGAATCCGGTGGATCTTAATCAAATAGGGTTATGGGGCCAGGGTTTCTTAAACAGGTTCGTACATTACCCGGCCGGCAGCAAAGCAATCAGCTCCTAAGTACCGCAGATTCAGACTCAGACTCCGCCGATGTAGTTGATCAGGGCAGTTTCAGGGTTTAGGGCCGGTTCAGGGTTAGGGTTTAGGGTTTAGGGGCATTGGGCTTTCAGGTTTTGGAGGTTTTCCCGGCTTTCGGTTTCGAGCTTTCCAGTGCTTCTTCCATTCCTGAAGAGCTCTCCTGGAGTGTGTTGGCGCATCAAGCTTACGGTAGAGTTCAAGATAGATGTTGCAGGTTTCGGGGTTTCGGGCTTAGGGTTCAGAAGTTCAGGGCCTAGAGCTTAATTAGCGCTCAGAACAGGGTTTAGGCTTCAGAGCTTGACGAAAGCGTATGCTGTGTGCACGCTTATTGCTTTTTCGTGTGTTGTACTCAAGGTTTGTTGCTGAGGCCAAGAACTTTGAGTAACTTCGAGCCAAATTCCACGAGCAGAAGTGAGAATGCAGGAGAACCGTACATTTCCGTGCTCGAAGACTTTATCCCCCTGGCGCTGGTTGAGCTCCCGGAGCATAGAACCCCTAGTGCCCCAAACCCAAACCCTAGCTAAACCCTTTCCTGGACCCTAAATCACCTTCCTCTCCTATATAATGAGATCATAATATGAAACCCTAAAAAGCTAAGTTCTTTAGCTGTCCAGGTAAACCCTAGGCCCCCAAACCCTGAAAGAGCAGAGGCCATCCAGCACTGGGCGGACAAGGTTGCCTCCTTTGAGGAGGCAGCCGTTGTTTACGGTTCAGGGTTCAGGGTCGTGCAAATCTTAGTTGCAGAGTGGGTTTAGAGTTTCGGCTTTAGTGCTTTTTGAGATGCGACAGCATAATGATTGAAAACGTATATGTGCATGTACACACATAGCACGTGTATACTAGCGTTCGTTTTCGATGTGTTTCTGGACAACTTGCACACACTTGAGGTGTTATCGATTTCTATAGATGTGTTGCACATATGCAAATTCATATACTATGGGTGTGTGTGTGTGTGTGCGTGTGTGTGTGTGTGTGTGCGTGTAGACAGGGAGAGACAGAGACAGAGAGAGAGAGAGAGAGATTCGCCAAGAAAGCAGCCAGGGGTGTTGACGTCGTTCTATGGGCCAATTTGCCGTGTGTGCATCAACGAAAAGTGTGGGCAGTCCCCCCAGGCACCCGTATGCAGACTCTGATCGTGAAACCAAAAGCCCAAATCCAAACCAGAGACTGGAACACTTGACCCGGATCTTGATACGGGATTGAAAAATCCGGGCATTCTGGGAAGCAAAGCATCTATTGCGGAGGTTTGGCAGTTACGATGGTTTTCCATACCTTAACCCTGAATAACCTACCTTTTTAAGGACTTTTATATAATAAAAAACCCTAAACAGGTAGGTTAATCAGGGTTCAGGTATGGTTCAGATACGGCCTTTCGTCTCGCCTGAGTGTATCGCGGTACACATCCTAGGACCCAGAGTAGGCCCTTATTCCCTTTTTTTAGGGTTCAGGTTCCCTTATAACCCCCTTTAAATCCGAAAAGGGCACCTTTTTTTATTCCTACGTTACTCTTGGGTCTAGCATCCAAGAACCCAGGGGGCCTGCAGAGATCGGTCCGAGATCCTGACTTACGGATGGGAGTCATACGGCTGATGGAGAAAATCCTGCATGACCCCAAGGACTCTAAACTATGGGAACTATGGTATATTCCTTATAATGGGTAATGCAGGATTTTGTGCATCAGCAGTAGTAGTTCCTGCTTCTGATGAATTTTATGTTGCGGTTAGCGTCATGAGAAAGCAAGGTGACCAAAAAGGGACTGCACTGGCGATTGCGTGTATTGTAGGTGGCTTCTGATTCGTCTCGATCCCTGGGTTTAAGCCAGAACATGCAGGACATAACTGCCATCATCCAGGAAGAATCCGTGGACAAGGCCCACAGGGAAGTGATTCGGGGCTTGGGAGTTCAGGCAGTGGAAATTCAGGAGTCATGGGTGGCGGTTTGAGAAGGTGTAGGTGATTACCTTTGTGCAGCTGGATTGCCCATTTGCGATGAGATCCCGATTGCTCAGTCGAAGGATCGGAGCCATGGAACCCCGCAACACAGGTCCTGCTGTACGAAGCTGCGAGACACAACTTGGGGGCAGTCGTATTGGGTTTTTGGTGGAATACAGCAGAAGCCTAAAAGTTGGAAGCCCAATAGCCTCAATCCTTAAGACTAATTGTATAGGGAATCCCGGCGCTATTTGGCCTTAATCCGGTTTCCAACTTTTCGGGGCTTACTATCGATCTCTTACAGAGCCCTTTAAGGAGCCCTTTTCAGGAAGCCTGAGGCTTCCAACTACACGGGGCTTACTATAGTCACCTTTACAGGGAACCCTTCCTGCAAAACCCATGGGCTTTTTTGGAGCCCCAGGGATTGTGACGATGTTTCCGATGGTCATGCCGGGTCAGGAGTTGCGACTCGCCGATTTGCTGACTCAAAAGTGTGGTCCCCAAAAAAGGTACCACAAAGCCGCGTCTTCTGTGGACATCTTATGCTGGGATTTGGGTTTAGGGTGTATTTTTTGTGGTTTAGGGTTTCGGATTTGCGGTTAAGGGCTTAGGGCTTGAGGGTTTAGGGTCTAGGTTCTACACGGTTGATATTGTTATGCATGCAAACCACAACGGCTTGGGGATTAAGGCTTAGTGTATAGGGCAAGTACGCCTTAACCGACCATGAACTGTTTGCAAAGGCTTCCCTGTAGTGCCTTAAGATAGACCTTTAAAGCCCCAGACCCTTCAAGCCCTGAACCCTAAAGCTTCAACCCTATAGAGCCCTAAACCCTAGACCGAATAAAATCGAACCTGTGTTGATCAACATGCCCCCAGACGGAAAAGATGTTGCCCAGAGCTATGGCGTCCCGGAACTACAGGAAGTCCTTTGAGGAAAACGGCTTGAACCTTGTCCACAAGATGTAAAGGATGTGTTGACTTCGGCTAGGACCGCTAGGATGTTGAAAGCCAGCTTGGATGCATACAGCAGTGGTGTAAGAGCTTCGTGTAGTTATGGAGGTGATACGTAGTTTGGGTGTACCTTAACCCTGAAGAACATACCTTGTTAAGGACTTATATCAGGAAATCATACTAGGGAACCCTAAAAAGGTAGGCTATTCAGGGTTAAGGTTTCCCAGACATCTCGAAGCCCCCTGCCTCGCCTCTGCAAAGTCCGAGAGCTAGCATCTGATAGCTGACGCAGGGAGTGCTCAGGATCTCATTTCAAGCAATAAGCTGGGACGGCTTAAAAGTCACCGATCGCGGAACCCAACTGACTTCTCCACCGGTAACGGGCCAAGTGCCGAAGAGATTCTGTCCGACATTTTGGTTCCATCGCTTGAGATCGTGAGTCAACGCTTACCGATGCATGGAAGAAGGGTACGACTTCATGCGGAAGGCTTCGTGAAGACCCTTCTGAAATTCGCAGTTCTAGGGCATCCTAGAGTTTAGGGTTTTGGGGTTCTTGGGAGTTTGAAAAGGCTGATGAGTTTCAAGCTACGGCCTTCCTTTCAACATCATGGGAGTGGACCTAGAGCTATTTGTTCAATGAGACAAAGTCAAGCCTGTTCAGTTTTACAGTTGGTTTGGGTAGAAGTGTTGTCTTGGCTTATTCCGAAGGAATGCACGCCATCGTTGCTTAGATTCTTAGATGTTGAGCTTAAGCTGTGTTTTAGTCTTGGGCTCTGGGGCTTAGTCGAGTCATGTCAGATCTTAGTCTTTGGGCTTGGAGTCCAGGATTAGGCTTTAGGAAGTGAAGGCTTTACCGGGAAACTGCAAACACAGACTCACACGTGGCTGGTGTTGGTGCGGAGTTGTAAAACACACATAGCACTCGCACCAGGGGTCGAACTCGAGCACAGCTTGCTGCATTTCCTGTCTTTCGGATTTGATCAAACATACGGAAGGGGTTTGTAAGCAGCCTACCATTGATTGTGCTTGGACTATCAAGGGCTCAGGGTTGGATCAATCTTTCCATCTTTTACACCTGAACTACTGACCTCCAAATCCGAAAAAAGATCCAGCGTATGTCGTTCGTCCCAAAACCTGTAAACCCTCTGAGTCCACGAAATGAGCAGTGGTTGAAGCCTCAATTTCACACGAGGTCCGACAACTTGGAAAAGCACAAGAAGGACATTGCCGCACGACCAGCCAAAGAATGGCTGCCTGTCATGATGTAAGGCCAGGGTTGTACACACAGCCTCGAATTCAGGGGATCAACCCTGAAACCCTGGACCCAAGAGTAGACCCTCACAACTTGAGGATGCCCACTAGAGCGAACGTCGAGAAAGGACCCCCCCCCCATGTAAAGTATGAATCATGGATACACGGATCCTGTGAGTATTTACAAGGGCCCCAAAACAATGAAGGTACCCCATCTGGGTCCATATGAGGAGACCGGTGGAGCAACCGTAAAAAAGCACTGCGATCCTTAGACAGTCTCCACAGCCCCAAAGCACGACACGAAGCCCCTACTCCCTCAAGCTTAAACTCGCTTCAGCTTCCGCAAGAGCGCTACGAAGCTTCTAAGTACCCTAAGTGCTTCAAAGCCCAAAGCTCTTATAGAATCCTGGGAGGTCCCTGACCGTGGAAAACCTTTTATCGGCCCTTCGCCCGTCAAGACATTTCAAGCCCAGCAAACCCCACAGAGCCTAAACCCCTGTGCCTTAATCGCAGATTCCTCACACCTTGACAAGCATAAGCCCCTATAGAACCCTTATACCCCGCCCAGCACCAAGCAATACAAAGCTTACGCTCTTTCCCAGGTTCATGTCGAACAAAGACAAGGCGAAGTTGAAGCAGAGCGAGAAGGAGAGTCTGCAGGAAGCGGAGGCATTCAGTCTTCCCAGTTTAGGGTTTGGGGTTTGTTTAGGGTTTGCGGCAATAGGGTTGAGGGGGTTTGCGGGTGACTGGGTTGAGGGGTCACCTTACAGGCTTACAGGATTTGCGGTTTACTAGGATTGCAGGTTTAGTGCTTTCGGGTAGGGTTATTGTTGTTGCGTTCCACGCTCCAGTTTACGGCTGTTACCACCGCAGCTGTGTGTGAGTTGCATTCTTGCTGCTTGTGACCGTGTTTCTGGTATGCTTGGTACACGTGTAGCACAGGGGCATTACAGCCACAGTTGTTCTCGGGACGGTCTTCTCGATCTTGGTTCGAACAGTGGCAATGGCACATAGCCGCTATATTCATATTATATGACTTTGTTTGAACATCCCCTTGCGTTTCATATCCTGCACACCCTGGTCTTAGCCTGATTGTTAAGGCCACTAATCACAAGACCCTTCTGAAACTCAGTCACCCCAATTTGGACCTACAGCTCCTTACTCGAACTATTAACCCCGAATTAGGGCTTTGGGACGATGTACGTAGTTTTGACGCTTTGGCATGCGGAGTTCTAGAAACAACACGTGGGCTGGCATGGATCCTAGATGGTAGGATCCACTCCCTTAAACCCTCAAGCCTCTAAGCGCTAAGTAGGATTGAAATCAAAGTTGGGCTCCCGAAGCCCCCGTCGTTAAGTGGGAAAAGCGTCAGAGTTTATAACATCCAGTGTTTTCTAATGTAGGGGCCCTTTAGAGGGGTCCTTGTAACAATAAGGGTGCAGTGGTATTTGGGCGACCTAAACCGGGTCCTAGTTTAGAGACCTACCCCCATCGCAAGGCCAAGGCCTTGGCCGGGGAGGATGAAGAGAAAGAGAGCAAGAAGAGGCGGAGCATTTGTGCTTAGGGTTTAAGGTTTAGGGTTTAGAGGTTGAGGCATGCTCACACAGCGGTTCACCCTAAGTAAGGAGCATGTTCTGAACCGCGCAAAAGACCGTTTCTGCAGCTAGTGCAGCGTATGGACTTTTTGATTGAGTTGTAATCGCTGCTCTTGGCAGGTGTAGGGTTCGGAGTCAGGAGATCTCTTGGCTTCTGTGCTGGCTTTGCTTTCGGGGTATTCAACGTATTGAAAATGGCTCTCTTGGTCCTTTCCTCCGGCAGTTAGACCGAAGGTTGAGCATGAATCCCCTGAACTCGAACCCTAAACCCTAAACTCGAACCTTGAACACCGTGAACACCAACATCTCCCCGGCAATCACAAACTCTGCATCATTCTGCCAACGTCATCCTGAACCTGAGACTCGCTGGATCCTGAAACTCGGAGCCAGGCAATAGCCCAGAATGTCTCGAAACACGAAAACCACCGAAACCCACAAACCCTTAAACCCTAAACCCCCGAAGCCCCTAACCCCCGAACCATCCCAAACCCCTAAACCCTAAACCGTGAGACCCTAAACCCCCCCAAACCCGCTACCCCCCTAAACCCACGAACTCTAAACCTCCTAAACCCCTAACCGTGCCCTCACCCTCCTCAACCCCCAAACCTTAAACAGTCCTTCGGATGCCAGGAAGAAGGGGCGAACTTCCTTAAGTATGGTAGGATCTATAATGATGTGTTCTATGGGTTTCTATGGCATATTCCTTAATTTCCTTATAGAACCGGTATAGATCCCTTTAAGGAACCCTTGCCGATCCCTTTAAGAAACCCTCTCTGCGATGCCGGGAAGAAGGGGAGCACTTAAGCTTTTGGGCCTGACATATTTGGCCTATCTTTCAAAATTTGAACCCTAAACCCTAAACCCTAGAGTCATCGAGGAAGAGAGGATCTTAGAAAGTTTGAACCCTAAACCCTAAACCTCCTCCTGTAGCCCGTCCTTCATGGCCTCACCTTGTGTTGGCGCTGTTTTCTGGTGGGATATAGGAGGGACTCTGCTTCTCCAATGTGAGGGGCCTTTCGAACTCCCCTGGTAGCACGAAGTCTATGGCCTTACCTTTGTTTCGCTGTTTTTCTGCTGCTATCGGGGAGTCCTGTAGAAGTTCAGTTGCCGACCAAGAACCTCGTCTGGATTGCCCGAGTTGCGAGAGCGTAAACCCTAGAGTTATTGAAGAAGAGGATATCTTAGAAAGTGCGAACCCTAAACCCTAAACCCTAGGGTTGTTGAAGAAACGAGTGGGATGCCAGGAAGAAGGGGCCTTTGACCGAGGAGGAGCTCCAGGAGAAACGCGCCCTGAGAAACAGGCCGCGTCGGGGCCACCGTGGCGTAGGGTGTAGGGTTTAGGGTTTAGGGTCTAGGACTTAGGGGTTTAGGGTTTAGGGTTGAGGACTTATAGGGTTTATTATTTAGGGTTTAGGAGCCTGTCCGTATGTAATGTACATATTTGTTTGTATGCATATTCGTAGGTAGGTAGGTAGGTAGGTACATGCACATGCATGCATGAATGTATGCTTGTGGGTATGTAGTTTCTTGCTTGCTTGCTTGCCTGCTTGCCTGCTTGCCTGCTTGCCTGCTTGCCTGCTTGCCTGCTTGCCTGCTTCTGTGATAGTTGATTTTGTTGATCGCCTGGTTGTTCTGTTGTGCTGTTTTGTGTTTGTTTGTTTGTTTGGTTGGTTGGTTGGTTGGTTGGTTGATTGCTTGGTTGCTTGGTTGGTTGGTTGGTTGGTTGGTTTGTTCTTTGTTTTGTGGTTGTGTTTGTTTGCTTGTGCTAGGGATGTAGGAGTCAGGCGATAAGCTGCAGGGTTCGCGTGTGCTGCTTGCGCACACGCACCCGACCCTAACAGCGGGGCTTAAATTCGTAGAAATGTCATTTGTAGGGTTCCTTATGGCGATAACTGCACCATGCATAACCATGCTGTCCACCAAAACCAGCTCTGATCACTCAGGTCATTCTATTAAGGCCCCCCGCACTGGACCATCTAAGTAACAAGACTCAAGGCTTCCAAGCGGAACGCCTTAAACTTCCAAATATTGAAGCCTTCAAACATAACCCTATTGAAACCTTCAAACCTTGCAGCCCCAACCCCTGAACCCTAAACTAAACCTTGAAGCAGACAGTCTATTTTCCTACTAACCCTGAACCCTTGAACCCTTAAGCCCGAAACCTTAAAGCCTAGACCCTTCACTGCTAACCCTTGAACCCAACCAGGGCACGGCTCAAAGCCAAGAGGGAGGCTGAGAAAGCCGAGCGGGAGCGAGAGCAGGTGGCTTCTGATTTACGACGGTTCCCAAAGGGTCCAGGTACCTTATAGTAGGTACTTAGTAGGCACCTGGGACCCGAAAGTATGTACAATATTATTACTTGGACCCTTTGGGGTTCTGGACGGGTTTAGGGTCTAGGGTTCAGGGATTTGGATCTCAGGCGTTACGGTTTAGAGCTTAGGGTGTTCTGTAAGGGATCCATGAGGTTTCTAGAACAGGGCGGCATAAACGGATCTTAAGGTTTCGAGGAATCTTATGGTTTCGAGGGATCTTAAGGTTTCGATTGTTCAGAGTTCTTGGGCTTAGGGCTTCGAGCGCTTACCAATTTGGGTCTAGTTGAGCAAGGATTCGAAAGTCGGACCAGATGCAGCCATTCCATGTTGACAACCGATCGCGTCATCCCAGGCATCCCAGCAGATCAAAGATCACACCCCTCTTTAGGGTAGTGCTCCGGCATGCTCTTTGTTGGAACACTAGTCACTAGTCCCGAATTTCCGAACACCACAATCAGGTTACGACCATAAACAGCGCCTTCGGCCAAATCCTGAAAATCCGAACCGCCATTTCTTCTTGTTTATTAGACAACAAATGGAACTACCATGGAGACTATAGGTAAAGTTTACACCCCCTAAACAACCCTGGGCCCCTAAATGGCTAAACCCTAAAACCCTAATCCTTAAACTCTACTCCCCGAACCCCCAAGCCGGGCTTGTTGCGGACATTCCTTTCGCCAGCTCCGTGCGCGGGCCTCGGCCAAGCGAAGTCGCCGGGCGCAGCGCGACGCCGAGGTGTGGTCCCAAAGAGTGTAGCACATATATTGGGAGGGGGGTCAAATAACTACTAATGTAATTAAGTAGCTACTATAT